TCTTCTTCTTCTTCTTCTTCTTCTTCTTCTTCTTCTTCTTCTTCTTCCTCTTCCTCCTCCTCCTCCTCCTCCTCCTCCTCCTCCTCCTCCTCTTCCTCCTTCTCCCTCCTTTATCTACTCTTTTTAATATATAACTCAAGAAGACAGACATACCTCATACTCCTTCCTCCTATTTTTCTCACAACAGCAATCTTGGGCTGAGAGAGAATTACTGGCCCAAAGTCACCCAGCCAGCTGTCATACCTAATTACTATTACTCAGTCTCCCGATTTCTAAGACAATATCTTCCCCATTATACCAGACTGGCTCTTCTCCAGAGAGACCAACACTAAAGATTTGACCCAGTTGTATTGTGCTCTGGGTGGGGCCCAGATCCAGTAAAAAACTGATTGAGCTTACAGTACAATGAACCCTGTTCATTTTTTGGGAGTTACCAGCTCAAACTCATTCCAGATCATACCCCAACCCTGCACCCATATATGCAGACAGTACTGGATTTTAGTAGGGAAGTGTTTTAACTGGACAGCCTTTTGTCTGAAATGGTGTAGGGTCTCCTGCTTGAGTAGCTGATTAGATTAGAAGACCCCCTCTTGTTTTAATCTCTTCCCTTCTTCCAAATGATGGGAAATCTGGTTTTCAGCAATCGTGTTTAGAAGCTACCAAAATAATAATAATAAATATAAATAATAAATGTATTCTGCCTCCATCCATCTTTAAAGATGTTTCGAGCTATTCCATAAAAGAAATGCATGTTCTTTTCAAACATAAAATGCAATTTCCTCCATGCATTTTCCCTCCAAACAGAATGCAACTTTTAGGAACACCTCAAGCTTTCCCTTTTCTTATTATATCCTGGAAGTTATATGCTTAGCACTGTAGAGGGCATCTGTGCAAACCTCAGCATACTTGCCAGTTAATCCATAAAGCAAAACCAGTCTTAGTTCCTTGGGGATTAAACTGTTTATGTTTAAGGCTTGGAATGTAATGTCGTCATAAGTTTTGCCAGCAAATGCAGAGGCTGAGAAAGCAAAATAGAAGCACTGGAACGTATAAGGAAAAGATCCAGCATCTTCAAAACCTTTCATAGCAGGATATATTTATCAATGTAGTTATTCACATAGTTGTTTAGTTTTTATGATGCACTAAGTTTTACATCATTTTAAAATGCAATTTGTTATAACTGATAGCATAAATATATAGAATAGATTCAGTTTGATTTTATATGGTGGTTTCAAGTTCCTGAATGGAAAAATCCAACTTTTCCTAAATATGATTCTTAGTATAATTTTAACTTATCTTCCAAATGCTAAATATTTACTGTTTCTTTAAAGTCAACTATGACTCATCCAAATAAGTCCTGCACTTAATTCTTCTTGAGTTCCACAGAGTCTGAGCTTCTTTTTAACTCTTCCTTAACTAGCACATGAGGTCTCTTATCCAATGGCACAGGGTCAGGTATAAATCAATGCACAGATGTTACCCAGTTGTAAATCTCAGTCCCCAGACAATTGGGTGATGCTGTCAAAGGTCTGCACTGATACCTGGAGGTTATTGTGGACTGATGGAGTAGTACAGGTTTAGTCTCAATTCTTGCAAGACTGCATAGCTATGGATTCAAAGACCCCTCCCTGCATTTCTGTGGATTTTCCATCTCTCATACTTTATGGTGTTGTACTTTCTCAAGTGAAATGTCTAGGGAGATTCTTAGTCATCCAGGCCATGTTTGTCCCAAAGGTGCTTTTTCAAGACGCAATTGAACTTTCTGATTTTTATTTGAAGATGTTTCACTTTTCATCCTAGAAGCTTCTTCAGCTCTGGCTGAATGGTGGGGAATGGAAGAATTTATGCAGCTGTCTGCAATGAGTATAAACCTTCCATTTCCCACCATCCAGCCAGAGCTGAAGAAGCTTCTTGGACGAGAAGCGAAACGTCTTCAAAGAAAAGCCACAAAAGTCCAGTTGCCTCTTGAAAAAGTTCTTCGGTGAACCTGCCTCAGAGGTGGTATTCAACAGGTTCTGATCAGTTCTGGAGAACCGGTAGTGGAAATTTTGAGTAGTTTGGAGAACTGGCAAATACCACCTCTGACTGGCCCCTCCCCCATCTATTCTCTGCCTCCCGAATCCTAGCTGATCGGCTGGGGTAGAGTGAGAATGGGGATTTTGCAGTATCCTTCCCCTGGAATGGGGTGGGAATGGAGATTTTACGGTATCCTTCCCCTGCCACGCCTACCAAGTCATGCCCACCAAGCCACACTACGCCCAAGCCACGCCCACAGCACCGGTAGTAAAAAAAATGAATCCTACCACTGACCTGCTGTGTACACATGGATGAGGGAGCTCCTGGACCTGATATAGTTGATTGAGGAGTAAATATTTTTTTTTAGGGTGTGGGAGTTATTACAGTCTATTTTAAAGGAATGGTGTGGTCCTGTAGATTTTTAACTGGCATTTAAAAGTGTTTAACATAACAAAGAAAAATCTGGCAGGATCAGGCCATAGTTCCATCATCCTTATCACAGAGTTACTAACACCATTCAAAAAGCTCATAGAATATGTAGGATTCCAGGACTCCACCACTGCTTCCATTACTGCTAGCAAGCAACCAGTATTTTAAAGTCTTCGCCTACAAAAGCAGTGAAGAAACTCCAATATTATTAGCTCTTAATAGCCTGGTCTTTCATGAACCTCCCGAGTTCACCCCTTAAATCAGATCAAATTGCATGCCATTTTTGCATGCCATATTTCATTTTGGGGCAGTACATTCTGCAGGCTATCCATTGGTTGAAAAGTTATTTTCTTCTTTGGATTTGAACCTGTCCACCTTTGGCTTTATGGATGACCTGAAGGTCTGGACCTGTGAGAAGGAGAAACACTTCCATTTATCATATTTTAATTTCCAAAGTTAAGGGATCTGGGTGGTGAAATCTTTCCTTCAGGCCAGTTTAGGGTTTAACTGGTTTCGAATGGAAAGATTCTTACCTGATACTGTCTTTTTAATTGCATTCCTGTATAGCATTCTGAATGCATTCTGCATTCGGTGGTTATACTATAATTCTTATTATCATTTATTTGATGTATTTTGCTACATAAAACCCAAAGTTTTAAATGCTTTATGAATTCACTAGAAATAATGCCCTGGCTGAGAAAAGGGGTTGATTCACAAGGAGAGAGAACTTTACTATCTCAGCAAAACCTTTATTGCTAGGAACTATGTGGCCTTTATTAGTCAATGGTGACTCTGGGATTCTAGGGACATAAGCAGCAGCTGCCTTCTCCTGAATCAGACTAATGGATTTATCTGTTTTTGTCCTGCTTGCTCCATTGATTGGAACTGGTTCTCCTGGGTTTCATGCAGGAACCTTTCTCAGCCTTACTTGATGATGGAGGAATCGAATTTGGGATTGTTTGCATACAAAGCACATACTTTCCCACTGTGGCCTTTTGCCCAGAGCATAATAGTAACTCAGCTTAGGACACTTGCTGTAAAAGGTTATTGTTTTGATAGTTCTGCAGTGGAATTGAGAAAAATTCCTTCCCCCCCCAATTTTCTACAGTCTTTTTCTCCCTTTGAATCTCTGAAAGCAACCCTTATGCACGCACACACACATACACAAAATTAGGGAAAGTCATATTTCTTGGGCCCAGAATTGGCTCAAAAGTCTAGGATGGGAAGATTCTGTGTAGTCTTCTAATATGAAATGCATATAAAAAATTACAATACGCATTGCATATAAATATTACATACAGTACAGTTCTATGACTGAATGCCAATGGGATTTTCAGAGAGTGCGTGCTATTTTTTGCTAGTCACTAGAGGCCTCCTTTTTGGAAAAAAAAACCTTCTTCCCACTGGTATTAGAACATTGATCATCTCTGAGCTTGGGAAAATTTGTCCATCTCTGAAGTATAAGTATAGTATAATAATGTCTGGAACTCACTACCTGATTCTGTTGTCATCTGCTCAAACCCCTGCTCCTTTACCCTCAAACTAACCTCTATTGACCTCACCCATTCTTAAGAGGTCTGTAAGCGCACAATCATGCCTACCGTCCCTGTCCTATTGTCCCCAATTATTAGTTCCTATTTCTTATATTTAAACTTATATTTATTCTTATTTCTATTGTATTGTAAGCTTTTGACCAAATAAATAAATAAATAATATGTAAAATATAAAAGCAACAAATATTAGCATATGTGTCCTATGCTATTTCCCTTGTTAGAAAGCAACAGTTTAAACAAATTCTTTTATCATTATTGCTGATACTTTTTCACTGTGTCTTTTCAAAAGGTTTTGGTTTTAATTGGCCACTCAGTGGCTAAGATTCTGAGCTTATTGATCAGAAAGGTCAGCAGTTCGGTGGTTCGAATCCCTAGCACTTCATAATGGATTGAGCTCCCATTACTGGTCCCAGTTTCTGCCAACCTAGCAGTTTGAAAGCATATAAAAATGCAAGTAGAAAAATAGGGACCATTTTGATGGGAAGTGTTCCATGTACTTTCAGCGTTTAGTCATGTTGGCCACATGACCATGGAGACGTCTTCGGATAGCACTGGCTCTTTGAGGTGGGCACTGCCCCCTAGAGCCAGAAACGACTAGCAGGTATGTGTGAGGGGAACCTTTCCCTTTACCTTATGTTGTTTTATCTGCACTTACACAATATTCTTTTTTTACATTTAGTTTATTGTTCTTAGTTGTCACAGGTGTGTTTTCATGAAAACAATGATATATAAATTAAAATAGTAAAAGAAAATTGTCAGACAACTTCCTCCAGAATAGCTATTAATTTAATTAAATAGGGGGCTGCTGAGAACCATATGATACAATAAGAGACCTATGTTTTGGATTTCAATTTTGAAGGTTGATAGATAAAGCAACTTCTTACATTCCTAAGAGGCTTAATTGTGTTTGCATCTGTAAAAAAAAACCCAAATCAGAATAAAACAACACTATGATAATGAAATATATGCAAAAATGTGAAGGGGAACACTATGGAATGTCTTTAAACTTGTTATTATCCATCTGCCTGGATATACTCTATTTCTTCTCCATGAAACTAAAATGGCAAAATTTTGCTTGTTCATCTGAAAACAAATCTCAATTCAGTTTCGCTGCATCTCCTATGTGTATCTGTGATGGGAGTCCAAATGTAATGAATAAGTGGTGATCTTGTTAGCCAGTAATTGGCTCTCCTTGCTAAATAGCCTAAATAGCAAAGGGCCTGCTGCACTCTGTTGAGCTGTGTCCACACTATTAGCAAAAACTTCATCTGATCCCACACGTAGGTCATGCTTCCCTGCCTCTGCACACACACACAATGACCAATTTTAAATAATGCACTTCCAGAAATAAGTAAACTAGTTGAGGCAGCACCACTTTAAAAACACTGCTGCAAAATCGGCACTTCTACTACCAGAACGGCAATCCTTTCCAACATCAAGGCTGTTCTTTTCAGCGGAATGTGCCCAATTACCTAAATGTGATATTAAATACAACGTTTGCTGAATTATTGATGATTCTGTGACTCCAGAGAAGGGAGGCTGACTGACTTACTAATTTCCTCTGGGCCTTTGTTAGAGATATCATTGCCTATACTGCATAAATAGCTGATCTAAAAACTAAAAGAGGTTGCTGTGGGGATATTTTCATGAGAATAAGTGAAGGAGATAAATCTCATTTAAATAGACAGGGATACCAATTCATTCATCTCACTACTAGCTTGCTTGATAACATTTCAGTGATTCTTTCCAGTGGTAAAAAACACTATGCTATTTTCATATTCAAGAGAAATATCCTCCTCTTTATTGTGAATATGTGGTTAAAATGAAAACTGAACTCACCTTTTCAGACTTTAGCTGCTTTTATTCACTTGTTTTATTATTAGCAGATATGTGGATAATGATATATTTACATATATATTTGGGGTAAGCAACATTAGGCATAGCACAGAAAAGGACTAAAAATAATAAGCAAAAGAAATTAAAGGCATGAGGTAATAAACAGGAAAGGAAATATAGCTTAACCTTGTTTACACATAGCTCACTTGAACTATCTTTTCATTCTTTTCTACCCTATTTGCTTTTTCACATCTGTACACCATGTCATAGCTTGCCTTTTATTTAAACTTATTTTTCTCTTTTATATTAAGTCCATTAATTCATCATCAGTTTTTCTTGACCTTATTTCTCCTCTCTCACACCCATAACTTTCACTTTCACTTTGTTAAAGACAGTACACACATACACACATTCACACACACATATACACACACACACACACACACACACACACACACACACATCAGTGGTGGGATTCAAAAAATTTTATTACCGGTTCTGTGGGCATGGCTTTGTGGGTGTAAAATGTTTTCGTGTAAAATGTCCAGTCAGAGGTGGTATTTTCTGGTTCTCCGAACTACTCAAAATTTCCATTACTGGTTCTCCAGAACTGGCCAGAACCTGCTGAATACCACCTCTGACACACATGTATATGTATGTATGAGAGAAATGGTGGCAAAGGCTAAATTCCAAAACTTTTAATACTATTGATGATTATGGTTTGTCAAACATGGTCTAGATGCCTTTTCTTACTAAGATCCAACTCACCTCCATTTCTTTTTCTCCATTGTCATGTTTGTAGCAATGAAGCATACTATTATTCCATGTATAACATGTCCCAATATTTTATTTTTCCTTCAAGGGCCAAGTTAGATTTGAAAGGATAACTTGCTCTTAGGTTTCAATGCCACAAGCCTATTGATAAATAGGCTTATACAAAACCATAGTAATATAAATCTCTAACAATATGTGTAATCATATTGTGGCAGAAATTGTTTCTATGGTAGAAACATGAATGTATTATTACACAGGGAAACAAAAATACACATACCTACCCTGTTTTTCTGAAGATACAACCTACCCTGAAAGTAAGTCCTAGCTTGATTTTTTACACATGCACCCAATATAAGCCCTACCCCCAAAATAAGCCCTAATTAAGATCCCACCCAATCTAGAGTGCATGGGTAAAAATTAACCTAGGGTGGGGATGGCTGAGTGGAGCTGCCCTACTACTTACCTTTGGACAGTTGTAGCCAGGCCTCTTACACCCCAACACCTGCCTTGCCAACCCATTTCTTCTGCAGCCAGCAAGGCTTTTCTAAAGGCCTCTGTAGCTGATAACAGAGCCCCAGATCGATCCGGAGCTCTGTTATCGGCTGCAGAGGCCTTCAGAGGCCTTGCCGGCTGCAGAAGTAGTTCCTGAAGGTCTCTGACAATGAAAAGGAGGCCGGGGCAATGTGTGCAAGTGAGGTTAGTCAGTGGCTGACTTCCTCCGAAAATAAGACCTGGTGCCTTTTTTGGTGGCAAAAAATATATATAAGATAGGCTCTTATTTTCGGGGAAACATGGATGCTAAGAAATTACACTAATGTCTTTGAATGGAAAACCCTGATCAATGGAGAAATTTTTCTTTTTTTGCATTGGGAATCAAGAAAATGATTAACAAGTTAATTGTATATGCCTTATTTTAAGCTTAAACCACCAAAAAAGGCACCTTTCTCTCCAAACCTCAAAATATAATTTCTTCTGGGAATTTCACTGCCCTCTACTTGCATACCATCTTCCTTATTTATGCTGGCTCTTGGCTGCCCCCTGCCCCCAATTAAACTGGCAAACCAGTACAACCTTCATTTGCCCTTGATATCTAGGCTTGTGGTTGCAGCTGAAATGGCCAAGAATACCAAATGTAATTTTATTAATGTTACTTTCAAATTACTTCTTGATTCATCTGAATGTCTGACTGAAAGGACAAAACACGTGAGAGCCAGAGACTAAAATCACTATGCAGCCATGGAGATCTTCTAATGTGTTTAAAATGCTGGATTCCTTATAATGAATTATGTGCTAACAGCTTTCTTTCAGTGGCAATAGTATTATTTTTCATCCAATTATAAAATTTGTATGCCATAAAACTAATTTTTTTGACATGATAAATATATTTCATTGTGTGTGTGCTTTTTTAAACAAGGAAACAAAGGGAAACATCGAAGCATAAACTCATTAATCATCTTTAATCAGCCCATCATTTATTGCTTTTTGAGAACAGAAAATATTTTTCTTACTATGGTAATTTTATTATATAGAGGTTTCAGACATCTTTTTAAAAAATCCTAATGATGGAATGTCAGAAATAAATATAGCTTATGTCTGCTTACTTATGATTGTGGATGTAGTAGGTAAACACTATTTGTTTATAATGAACAAGAAAATTGATAAATTCTCAGCATGCTGTAATGTCTCTGAAATTTATTTCTAGAACTGACAATAATTCATTAATAAAGGTAGCTTGCTCACAAGATAGTTATCAATGGGTTCCTACTACTCTGCTAAAGTATTTCAGAATGATGGTCATTTAAAAGTTTGAATTTAAATTATTTTCCCAGTTTTATTCCAGGGCTTTTCTACTTATTTGTTACATGTTCAGTTTGGGTTCTTCAGAAAGTTTTGATGCATGGCAGATACACAATTCTGATTTTTTTTTTTAAATGTAGCTAATGATTTTTCTACTTACTATTATTTGTGTGCTTCCTCTTCCACTCCAGGAATATTTCCATTGTACCTGTAACATGAACGAGGACTTGTAAAAAACATTATTATCAACAATATTTGGAGCAGTTAACATCATTTTCTTGGGAAGTTAGAACAAATGAAGAGCCCTCTTTATTTTTATTTGTCTGACATATTAAATGGTTAAATAAAGTCCATGTAATTTGTAATATTCTTCAACCCTATTAACAGAGCCAAGTTAAAGGTCTGGCTATATACTTCTCTTCCATCTCCATTTGAAATGATTACTGAGGATCAAGATATTTCGTGAGTAAGTTACACAGCAGACAGTGTGCTTCAGGGTAGAAACTAATTCTGCAAACTGATGTGCTTCAGTGCATGGGATAGTTAATGGCCAAAGAGAGAAAAGCCATGAGCCAAAAGTTATAAGAGGAAGTTAAATGTTACTACTTATTTAGGAAAAAAAATGATAATAATAATAACACAGTCACCAAAATGATTAACTGGAACATCTGTAATAAATTATCTTGTGCTGGTAATGAAAAAATTGGTTGGAAAATATATTGTTATTTATTTATTCAATTTATATGCTGTCCACCTTGCCCAATCTAGGTGGCTTGCAATATTTAAAAACCAATAAAAACAATAAATAATAACATTAAATTAGTTTAAAATTTAAAAAGATGGGTAGGAAGGGAGCAAGATGCACACGGGGCGGTGGAGGGAGATGGAGTCTTATCTAGCCCATTAACCACCTGGGACCCCATGCCAGTTGGCAGAGCCATTTCTTCAGGTCCTGTCAGAAGGCCTAGGAGTGGGTGCAGATCTTACCTTGGGAGGCACAGTGTTTCAAAGGGCAGGAGCAATGGCAGAAGCTGTTGATTAAGGGCAGGAGCTATGGCACAATATTGCTGAAAGGATAGTAGAAAATGAACAGGCTAAAACATTGTGAGATTTCTCAATACAAAGTGATAAAGTCTTGGCCCATAACACAGCAGATTTAACTGGCTGAAAAGAAGGAAGTGTGGATAATTGATGTGGTAATACCAGTGGTGGGATTCAAATTTTTTTTTACTACCGGTTCTGTGGGCATGGCTTGGTGGGCATAGCAGGGGAAGGATATTGTAAAATCTCCCGTCAGAGGTGGTATTTGCTGTTTCTACTCAAAATTTCCACTACCTGTTCTCCAGATCTGGTCAGAACCTGCTGAATACCACCTCTGGGTAATACCAAAGGATAATAGAATACAAGAAAAGAATTGGAGAAGGTCACAATGTATGAAGATATGAAAATCAAAATTGAACGATTATGGCATACAAACATGGTAAGCTTTGATACAACATACCAATCTCTAAATTCAAAGCATTAAATTTCAAATTAATCCCACACCAATAATATATAGATATAATCCCACCTGAGGACCCCTAAGGGGTCCGTGGTGCTTTCTGAGCTTGGTTGTTCTCTTGCAAACATTTCATCACCCAAACTAGGTAACATTATCAGTGCTAATCTGAACAAACCTGAGCTAATGATAGTCTCCTTGATTGATAATTCCACCTATATTACATCATAACTGGGAGAAAAGACTGACAAAAATGTCCCATAGTTTGTGTTGGACTCTCTACTTCTCTCTGCTGTCCACTTATGTACCAACTCACACCCTAATGTGTTTGATGGGAGTTTACATAGAAGTCAATTCTGCACAGTGTATAGTACATGCAACTCTCAGGAGTTTGCAACTGTGCGGGATTTGTCCACTATATGCTACTTAGTAACATGGTCTGAGGAATGCCTGGCAACTTTAAGATCATCTCCCAGAATTCCTCAGCCACTATGAACAAGTTTCTGTCTAACGCAAAATTTCTACCCTATTTTAACAAATCAAATAAAAGTCAATATATTAAAATGTTACGTTAAGAAAAATCCACAATTTGGAAAGAAAGTGTTCTCAGTGGCTGCTCCCCTCTTTTGAAACAGCCTCTCCTCAAGGCAAGAATAGCTTCTACTCTTGTAGTCTTCCAAAATATAGTTAAAACCCACTTTTCCAGATTATACAGCTAGAAAAAAAATCTGTGTCATTACTTAGAATTTTATTGGTGTTTTATTATATTGCGCTTTGATTTTTACAGTACCTAAAGCCTCTAATATCTTATAATCTTATAAATAATAAACAATAGTGGGTAACTATAAAATATTCTAGCATTTTTTAACTGTTTAATTTCATTTTTCTTTTCTCCCTGATTCAATGATGGAAGGGACTTTATGCCTCTGAGGTTGCATCAGGCTGTCTTACTGCAACTTCCATTAGTTGTTAGAACTCCCCCTCTTTTTTTCCAAAACGAAGCCACAGTTCCAAGAGGTGTACAATGTTTTTATTCTTTCACTGTCATGGTTGATGTACTTCAGTGATAGTTATTGATTAATGCCAGCATCAAGAATATTTTAGCATAAGTGTGTTACTTGACAGAATCAAACCTCACAGAAATTGAAGTTGACAGTCTGGAAGACATTGCTTGAATATATTATATAAGGAGCTTTCCTCTTCAGGGATGTATCCCAAAGCACAGTCCTTGTGTAAGTTGCTTTCCTTAACTTCTATGATTTGTAAGTAATGAGTATGTTCTACAGTAGGTTTTCTCATTCAGTTGTCCTCCAGAGTTGTTGGTTTATAATATTTATAACCCCCGAAACCACATGAGCTATGACTATGTTGGTAGGGACTGTGGAGATTATAATCTGATATTTCAAAAGGTAAACACCTTTCTCTGATTATATTCCTGGAAATACTGTATGGAAGGAATATGGAAACACTGTTTTTTTTTTAAAAATTTTTTTTACATCTGACTGTGTTGCGGAATCTCAGCTTATCTGGAAGATATTAGGATATAACAACAGTCAACTTTCACCAGACTCTGTTTACACAGTGAATCTCACAATGGCATGATGGCAAGGAGATTCTAGCAGTGACCATAAGGAAAGCTTATCAGTAGTATTTAATCAGTAGTGGCAACTAGAAAACTTTGAAACTAAAGCATTTTAAGGGAAGCTTAGAAACACTTTAAAAGTCCAGAATGGAGTGATGTTAGAGGGAGGATGAATTTTAAAAAGTTCCTCTGGAGAAAAGGAAAATAACAACATTTCCTTTATACTATAGTATATGATGACTACTCTGAACCCAGCAAGATTGGGGATAAAAATTAAGTTAGAATGATGTTGCCTAGAATACCTCTAATCCTGTGAATTTACTTTGTAATAGAAATAAATGCCTGTATATATTTTATTTTAAAAATGAAACACCAGAGTTGGTATTTAGATTAGTTATGTGTAGTTATTTGAAGCAGGCATGTCTTGGTATTGATATAGTATACAGAGATTCCTATATGTAGAAATCTTGATATATAATGATGTAATAGTAAACAATACTACAGAGAGAGAAAGAGAAGGGGGAGGGGAGAGAGATATGTGGCAAGATAGTGCTGTGTGTTGTCTATTAAAGTATGTATGCATGAATAAATGTATGTTACAATGTACAAATTAAATTGAAATCTACAGACAGCCGTCTCACTTCCAAAGGACTAAATTGACATTAAAGGAACAGTTTTATAAATTACTTTTTATGTTTTCATGTTGCTAAAAATATTTTGATCAGTCATTAATTACTTTTGATAGAAAACATGTTTCTGAAATGATCAATGGTATTAAACCTGCTAAAGGTTTTGTAAAAAAAAAAAAAAGTGGACGTAGAAGGTTGAGAAAATCATAATTACTTCAATTAAAAGTAAATAACCACGAAGCCTTTTTTTACTATTATTTGTGGAAGCCAAGATATCTTGCTTTTTCCTTATGTTATTACCAAAGACTTCTTCCAGAATAAATGTCCTGGATATATTTAAAAATGCATATCCTGAATAATCTTTTCTCTTTTGTTCTAAGGTTTTCTCCTAGCAGTGAGAATGGATTCCAATTAAAATCCTTTCCACCAGAAATATTTTAAGATTTTTACCCCCTTTCATTACATCTGTACTTCTGTGTAAGATGATCTGATATTGAACTGAAGTGATGCTCTTGCCCAAAGTGCTACTGTCAAAACATGTGTTGCACAATTATGATTTTTGCCTCCTTAAAATAACTTTTTGTGGAAGGAAAAAGATAACACAACAAAGGAAGCTTGCAAATGAAGAACATTTAGTTCTAAATCTCTTTTTTTAAAAAACATAGTAAATGGGGTAAACAGTGCAAGGCATAATAAAAAGTTGTTCTAGAAGTAGAGTGAAGCTGACAATTTAAATTCTCACCAATATCATACCTCCCTGTCATTTATTTTACCCCCTTAAACTCCTGTCACAAGATGAAGTTCTCCATCATCCCAGTAAGGAACTACAAATCAATATTTTAGGCAGTGAAGAATAGGATGTTAAAAAACTCAACGTTCATACCAACCAAGGCACTGATTGCAGTACATTTGAAGCATGTGTGTGTGTTTGTGTGTGTTTTCATGAAATAATGAGAAGATAGAAGGAGAGATGATTTAAAAAAAGGAGAAATAAGGAACTTGAAAGTGGTGGCTTCCATGGAAGAAATGGTGAACTGAAGACGGCTCTGCTAAAAGCAAAGCCGACAATGGTGGCAGAATGAAGAGTTGATGAGTAGACCAGTATTTTGTAATCCCTCTCCAGACAAGGGGAGGACCTGAGATCACTCCAAGTGCTTCAGGTAGTTATTTCACCTGAGAAGACTACAAGGCAATGGTCTCTGGTTGCTTTGGAACTGTGGGAGATCAGGAAATAGCCATCTTACTCAAACCATAGTCAGTGCCTTCAAAGGGACCCTAAGTTCACATAATTCCTTTTCCAAGCAACATTGGAAATTGCTCATTGAATTCCTTTTGACTGTTAAGAACCTTTGGATCGACAAGTCTGAAAACACTGGTGAGCTTCCTTCAATCCTTAGTGAATGAAATTTTAAATACCAAGTTAGGGACTTTTTTTTAAAAAAAAATAAGCATCAAAAAGGTGATTACAACTTTGATGTTGGAAAGTTGCAAATTGATTTAAGGTCTAGATAGATTTGAAATATATTTTTGGAAATATAAGACTCTTCCCCATAGGAAATTGCTTTTGTTTTGATTGTTTTAAAACACACACACACACACACACACACAAATATTGGTAGAATGGGACTTTGAAAGTTGGACAAAATGGGAACATCAAGGAACGTAAATTAAAGAACACTTAAATTTGATTTAATAGTACAAAATAGAGCAAAATATTTTGACATTGGACATATTGAAGGATATTATTGAACAATGGACACAGAAGTTAATTTTAAAAGTGTCTGCCTTTATAGGTGGATTGTGTTTAAAAGATGTTATGGAATGGTATGTGCCATTCCAACTGAGAAGCTTTGCTCATGGTCACTTACATCTGGTTGGCCTATTGCAATCTGCTCTCCATGGGACTGTCCTTGAAGTTACAATTGGTTAGTATGTGCAGCGCCATTTGCTTTGCCCATATTGCAAATCTGTTTTGCAAGCTGCAAAGGCTCCCAGCATCTTTCCAGATGCAACTCAATGTACTGCTTTTCATCCTTAAAGCTTACGTGGCACAGGGCCAGATTATTTACAGGACCAACTCTCCCTCAGAGTATCTGCTAATTCCATCATTCGGATAGAGCGGGAACTAGGTTACTTCTCTTAAATGTTTCCATTTAGGAAGTATGCCTTTTCAATTGTGGCCTTTGCCTTGTGGGACATTGTTCTACATGAGACCTGGCAAGCCATGACCCTTTTAAGTTTCTGAAAGGTCATAAATATGCAGCTCGAGAACGTCAAAGTTCCAAGTAACAATCTCCAAAACAGACAACTCCGAGACAATCATCTTCTCAAAGTTCCATTTTATTAGAGATGTCATATTGGCACATCTGGGAAAACCCAAATGTGAGAGTTCCAGATTTTCCCTTCCCCAAAAGAGAATCAAAGTTCCCTCCCCTGCTTTCATCAGCCCATCACATGGCCCAATCATGTCTTCGTCCCATCCGGAGACTATCCCAGATCACTCCCCTCCAGGTGCAGAGTGAACCGACCTTGAATGTTGTTGTGGCTAAACATGCTCCTAAAAAAACCCCTCCCAAATTCCCAGGTACTAAATGTGGCAGCCTAGAAGCTCCAAAAGAAAAATGGCTTCCCAGGCTGACAGCTGAGTTGGATGCATCAAAGGAGGATGCCACTTTTGGTTGTTTGGTTTTTATTGTTTCTTGGTTTTTATTGCTGTTGTGATCTGTCCAGAGTTGTGCTTTCTAAATGGGCAGCCATATAAACCTTTTAAATAATTAAATTGATGTGATTAACTAGGAGCCTTACGTAAGTAGATAATTTAAAAAAATAATTTTCACACATTCTTCTAAAAATAATCCATCTGGCTCTTGTCTCTTCTAAAAGAGACCAACTTCAGAAAGCGTGTAGCCTGTAGCTTTGACATCTGTGAATGACATAAAATCATTGTTTGCTTGTGTTTTGCCTTGTGCACAATGTTTTTTTCCCCTACCTTTGAGATGTATTTGTCAGAAAAGGGCAGAACAAGACATGCATCTAGAAGAAACGGGTGAATTTTGAAATTAAGGCAAGTTATCTTAA